TACTTTTATAGACAAAGACTTAGTTAAAAATATTAAGTTGATGATAGGATCACCAATGGGATTATTCCTGATTCTATAGTTTCCCCATTTTACTTATTGAGAAAAGAAACTTTCTTAAAGAAAATAAATAAAACTCGTTATGAGTCTCATAAGATACCCGGATATGAAATGTTAGGAAAATGCATGTGTTATTACCCGACCTTGTCTACAAATGAACTTCTAACAAAGCCCGCGTTACAATCAGTGGGATAAAAATTAAATTATTAAATCATTTCCAGAAATTATTAAATAATTTACAGAAAAGGATTAAATATTTCAGCTTGCTTTCTTTTATGGACTAAAAAATAAACGGAAAATATATAAAAAATATAAATATATATATATATCAAAAATAAATGGATGAGTTGATGATGGGGGGTGTTTAATGGCAATATTTATTGTCCTTTAATATCTCCTTTTCATATGTTGGGAAAAGAAACTTTATTAAAGAAAAGAAACAAATGAAATCTCTTTGTTAATGGCTCGGAACGAATCTTATTAAATAACTGGATATCAAGTCGTAAGAAAATCACACGGGAAATTCTTTGTTTCACGTTATTCGAATTTCTACTTGTTTGTCGTTCTGTGAAAAAAAAACGTTATTCATATTTTATGCTCAGTGAACTGGTAATTTGGATCTAATTCTACAAACGTCATCTCTACACCAGATTTTGTAGTAATCTGACTTGTTAATTTTAACACCTCCATAACTAAACCGATCCTTTTTAATCGTATTCCATCAGTACATATATATATATATATATATATATATATATATTATGCCTTTAAATTCCTTGAGGAACGTAAGGCTGCAAGATATCGTTGCCGTGTCTATAACAAGCCAGTTTTTTAAGTGAGTAGGTTGTTAGCCTACTGCACAACCCCTAATCTGGAAGATCAAGTTTTGAATTCAGAGTTGTCTTTCTCTTAGACCAGTTTTCATCCAAGGCTATAGAACCCAGTCTCCCCTGCTATTTACCCATAGTTGGAGAGAGAAGAAGAGTATTGATACCTTTCCCAAGGGTATTAGCGCGTAAGTGATTGTAATAGATTCGACTGGAATTCGAACTCTGCTCCCCGATTCTTCAATCCGAGTGGCTATCCATTACTCCACCGTGCCTCCTTAGCTGATTCTAACCTCCAGGAGAGTAACTCGTTTCGCCTTCCTGGTGTATATGAATTGAAACGATTATATCAAATCAATTGCTAAGGTTGCTGCTAAAAAAATTGTTTCACAGTCGTACGAGACAATTGCTTTCATTCGAATCTGTCTTGTATCTTTATAAATCTGCCATTCGTCCTTGAATTGAATAATATTGCCACATCTTTTACTGTGATATGTCTCGAGATTCTTGGCAAAATACAAAGAACCTGCAATATTATCGGTCCTGATCTGGCATCTTGTCTTTAATCACTTTCCCATCATTGTAACGTGTAGTGAGTCCCGATAAAAATAAAATAAAATAAAAATACGAAAATAAAATATATAAATAAAAAGAATTCAAATTCAAATAAGGCTTTGCGCTTTCTTTTAAAACCCTTATCTATTTTCTATTTCTCTCTCTCTCTTTTTATATATATATATATATATATATATATATACTTCTCTCTCAACTAACGGGAAGGTAACTCTCAAATAAAAAAAGAGAAAGAAGAAGAAAAGACTGAACCTGGCTTCAAAACAGCGGAAGTTTGCGTCACCAGAATCTACTAATTTGTGACTGCAAACTACAAAAAAATCAGTGAGGCTTTTTATGTAGCGGAAGTTATGCTCACGCATAACTTCCGCTATATAAAAATTGAAAAAGAATGGAACGCCAGAAAATAAAAAAAAAAGATTAACACAAATAGGCTTTTAATGTTAGCCGAAACCAAGGTACGTGTCAGAGTCCGGGTGCCTAGTCAAAAGAATATAACCTTACAGCTCTGAGTTAGACGATGAGACGGGACGGCAAGAGAAACTAGGGAACAAGAGACGCGACTGCCAGCCATGTGTGACACGTGAAGTGGTTATGAGGTAATCTGCTAATGATCTTTTCTGCTTTTCTTAGGTCCGAGAAAAACACATTCGATTGACGCTGATTTATTTTTAATGTGACTACTACTAGCAAGGTCTAATCTCGAAACTACCGACTACTGACCCGAAACAGTCAGTCTCCAGACTGCTACCAATATTCACCTTATTAGCGAATATTTTGCTAATCCGAATATCAAAAGACTCACTCTAAATCAAATATATAAAAATATATTAACGAGGTCTCTACGCCAGTCTAGTACTGCGCTTAAATTCGAGAAGTGTATGTATCATAGCGAAGAACTCATCCGAACAATTACCATGGAAGTATTTATAGAAAAAGCACAGAGAAACAACCTTACGTCGGTGGGAAAGTGACGGAAGTCGATTTTGACCAATAATATTGCCGATTCTTCTTTGGATCTTATCAAGGAGCTCAAGGTAAATAGCAGGGGCACTGGACCATATGTGGCAGCAATATTCTAAGCATGGACGAATGGTAGATAGATTCTGGAGAGAAAAATTGTCTCACACGGCACAGTGAATTAACTTTCTTAGCAGTTGACCTAGCAATGGATTCAATATAGTTTTTCCACTACATGTCAGCTGAGAACGCTAGCCAGAGAAGACGCAATGAGTCACTTTCCTGGGGATTAACATCAACTATGCTGATGTTCGTTTGTGGTCTTCAAGTGTAAATTTTCACGTTGGAGTTTGCTTATATTTAGTTTACACTCAAAGTCTTCGGAGGGCCTTGTGCCACATCTGAGCTACAATTAGAAAATGACCATAGTCTCGGGAAGGACAAATGGCGTGTTTTTGGTTATCTTTTTTTGGTAAAGGAAAACGAGACGACCTTTGTCAAATCAAGAGCAGGTTTTTCGGGGGGTTTTTTTGAGCCGAATGATTGGATGAATTGAAAAATCGCATCACGAATTCTTTGAAGATTTCGTTGCGTAAATTAATTATTGGATCATTCAAACATTAACATTTCAATTATGATGCGATAATATCAATGAATGTATTTGTTAATTGGTTTGTTTTTGGGTGCGTGGAGATGAACAAAAAGAAATAAATCTGATTTGATTGAAATATTTAAAGTAGAAATGATGTCAAATCATAAAACAATACAGTGGTGTTACTACTGCGAAAAAGTGAAACTTTAATTAACATAATAATGCTTTTTGTAATAAATGACTAATAATTATAAATCTAAGTTCTTTTAATAGATACTTATGAAATATTTATTCCAAACAATAATAAAAAATAATAATAATAATCTATACATATACAACAGAGTATGTTTGTGTGTCTGTCTGTTTGTCTGTCTTTTCACTCGAAATCCATCCAACTGATTTTGACCAAACTTGGCATATACATTGTACTAGGTTCTTAGCGTAAAAAATCGATATTTAAAAAAAAATCAATAATCGATAAAGCCGATCAAAAATCGATAAATTCATCTTTTTCCTCCGATTTCGTTCAAACTCGATATGTGGGGTAATTACATCATGACGAGCTCAACGATATCTCGTTTTTATTTCTACGCTACTGCGTTTAGCGAAAAATCACGAAAAACGAAAAATCGATTTCAACACAAATTTTAAAGTAAAAACTCCCTCATTTTTCAAGCAATCTAATACAAACTTCACTCATATGTAACAAACAATAAACAGTCATTTAACTTGATAATTGAGTCCACGCATATAGTGAAAACCCGCATAAATAGCGAAAAATGGCTATTTTTACTGGTTTCTTTCTTATTTTCGTTCATCTTTCAACCAATTTTCATCAAACTTACTTAACAATTACTTTATAAATGTATCCTCTTTTACATCCCTAGTAGTACACTGACAAATTGAATTCCCAAAACTCCAAAATAATTGTGATCTGAAGTGGGTCTTCATGTTGCCTGTTTTATACCTTCATGTCATTGGCTAACTACGATTGAATAAATACACACTCCTTTTGTTGTATCAGTAATTGCATTAATTCAAAATGTTTTTTTAATGAAAGTACTTTAAATTAATTAAAGAAGATAGACTTTGTTACATTTAAGCATGATGCTGTTTTTGCTCCATTATAATTGAAAGCTTTTTCTGAGCAACTAGCTGGGCATGGCTGCTAGTAATAATAATAATTATAATAATAGTGTTTATTAATCATGAAATAATAATGGTAATATTTAACCATCGTGCATGCCAAAAAACAACAAAAACGGTGTCAAATGGACAGTTATTCCCTTGACATACTGTATATACTTTTGACTATTACTGTATACACTTTTGACTCTATCTACGATGTTTATTGTTTTTAAAAGTGATAATTAGAATCTTAATAAAACTCAAACATATATAAATGGATTTTTACATTTTCTTTATTTTTCAAAATTGACAATAAAGATATGAAACACTATTTATTAGATTGCTTATTTACAAAATAATGTTATATTTGCAAGATTATAAAAATATATGACCAACTATAATTAAATATTTATTTTCCATTTTATAAAGAAGAAAATATGAAATGTTTTTTATTCATATTAAAATTGTCGTAAACGAAAAAAATTAAATGTATACATAAACACGACTAACTGTAATTATACATTTTGAAAAAATGCAACGCTTTTTAAAATATTAAATATTGCCGAGAGTCAAAAGTTTATACATTAATAGCGGTGTCAAGGGAATAACCGTCCTCTTGACACACCCTGATTGTTTTTTGTTGTTTTTTTTTGCAGACACAAAGGTTAAACATTGCCATAATAACTTACTGAATTATTCAATTATACGGAAATATAGTTAATTAATTAAGATATTTAGATTTTGATTATAAATGTATTTTTTAATTAAAATTGATTATTGTAAATTATTTATGATATTGTTTATGACGTTTCTTTATATTTACATGTATATTTCGTATTTCTCTTGTCACACAAACGATCAAA